AGAGGCTGGGCTGGGGCACGGCCGGGCTGACCCCAAAGCAGGGGAGGACCCAGGCGTCCGGACACCTCCGGGGCAGCTGGGACCCCTGTCTGTGCCCCTCTCACCTGCCTGGATCCCTGCCTGTGCCCCTCTCACCTGCCTGGATCCCTGCCTGTGCCCCACTCACCTGCCTGGATTGGTGCCTACACCCTGCTCACCTGCCTAGACCTTCTCACCTGCCTGCACCCTGCTTACCTGCCTGGATCCCTGCCTGCACTACGCTCACCTGCCTCGACCCCACTCACCTGCCTGCACTGCACTAACCTTTCTGGATCCCTACCTACATGGCACTTACCTGCCTTCATCCCATTCACCTTTCTGTACCCCACTCACCTGCCTGGATCCCTGTCTGCACCGCTCTCATCACTGCCTGGATGCCACTCACCTGCCTGGATCCCACTCACCTGCCTGGATCCCTGTCTGCACCGCTCTCATCACCACCTGGATCCCACTCACCTGCCTGGATCCCACTCACCTGCCTGGATCCCTGTCTGCACCGCTCTCATCACCACCTGGATCCCACTCACCTGCCTGGATCCCACTCACCTGCCTGGATCCCTGTCTGCACCGCTCTCATCACTGCCTGGATCCCACTCACCTGCCTGGATCCCACTCACCTGCCTGGATCCCTGCTCACTTTCCTGGATCCCTGCTCACTTTCCTGGATCCCTGCTCATCTGCCTGGATTCCCACTCACCTGCCTGGATTCTCGCTCACCTGCCTGGATTCTCGCTCACCTGCCTGGATCCCACTCACCTGCCTGGATCCCACTCATCTACCCAAGATCCCTGCTCACTTTCCTGGATCCCACTCACCTGCCTGGATCCCACTCATCTACCCAAGATCCCTGCTCACTTTCCTGGATCCCACTCACCTGCCTGGATTCCCACTTACCCACCTGGATCCCACTCACCTGCCCAGCTTCTCCAGCAGCTCATACAGGTCCTCCACGTTGCCCGGGCTCGGGGCAGCCTCCAGCCCCTCGCTCTCTGCAGCCCCCCCGGGCTCAGCCTGTAGGGTGGCACCAGGACCCGGCTCAGCCGCTGCCCAGGCTGTGGTGACTGTGTCCCCAGAACTGGGGGTGCAGGGACCCCAATCCCACAGAGCACCCCAACCCCCCCAGCATACACTGGGGGATTCTCCAGTATCCAGTGGCTGAGTCCTGGCCCTGCCCAGTTCTCCCAGCTCTCCCAGTTCCCATTAAACTCCCCAGCATGTGGAAACTTGGAGACTTTCACCCCTTGACCAGGGGCCTGCAGGAGCTTCTCAGGGGGGCTTGGAAATGGGGCAGGGGTGGGAAGGGAGGGGTGAACCCCTTGTCCCCCACTGTGCTGAGGGTGCAAAATGCAGAGAAAAACCAACACTGCGGTTTGGTTTCTTAAAAAAGGGGGGATTAACAGCAGATGGAACCACCACCGTGAGAGTCCCACCCTGTCACCCCCCCAGCCCCCGGGCAGGGCCCCCCCACATACCCATGGCCGTGGCTCACCTGGGTACTGTCAGGGGCGTCCCCCGGGCCCCCCTCGGGCAGGACCCCATCCTGGCCACCCTCGGCCATCGCTGCCAAGACAAGAAAGCACAGGGTGAGGGGTTGCAGCAGGTCTGAGCAGCAGGTTCTGGTAGTGGGGGGCTGCAGGGGTGAGAAGCTGCCAGAATCCTCCCCCGTGTCTGAGAGAGTCGCTGCCAGCGGCTCTGGGACAGACCCCGACTGGCCAAGGCCGAGCCCAGCGGTGACAGCAGCAGCACCTCAGGATAAAAGAGTCAAGGGAGGGCAAAAAGTGATTGTGTGAGAGAAACAGCCCTGCAGAGACCAAGGTCAGCGAGGAAGGAGGGGCAGGAGCTGCTCCAGGTGCAGCAGAGGAGATTCCCTGGCAGTCCCTGGGGGTCCCTCGGGGAGCAGAGACCTGCCTGCAGCCCTGGAGGGCCCCACGCTGGAGCAGGGGATGCCCAAAGGGGACTGTGACCCTGTGGGAAGCTGAGCTGGAGCAGGGTCCTGGCAGGACCTGTGACACTGTGGAAAGGGACTCAGATTGGAGCAGTCCCTAAGGAACTGCAACCTGTGAAAAGGGATCCACACTGGAGCAGTTCCTGAAGGACTGAACCCATGGAAGGGACCCAGACTGGAGAAATCCCTAGGGAACTGCAACCCGTGAGAAGGGATCCACACTGGAGCAGCTCCTGAGGGGCTGCAGCCCGTGGGAAGGACTCACACTGGAGCAGGGCAAGGACTGACTCCTCTCCCTGAGCAGCAGCAGAAACAACCTGTGCTGAACTGACTGGGGTCCCCATTCCCATCTCCCTGCACCTCTGGAAGGAGGAGGTGGAGCCCAGGAAGGAGGGAGGGGTGGGGAAAGGTGTTTTTAACTTTATTTTACTTCTCATCATCCTGCTCTTAGGTGATTGATAATAAATTCAATTCATTTTCCCAAGTCAGGTCAGTTGTGCCCATGGTATTAAGGGGTCAGTGACCCCTCCCTGCCCTAATCTCAGCTCAGAAGCCTTTTGTTACATTCCCCCTGCCCTGTCTGGGTGAGGAGGGCAGTGATGGAGTGGCTTTGGAGGCACCTGGAATCCAGGCAGGGTCAGCCCACCACAGAGGGGAGAGGGATTTGGGGGGGGGACGGACACCTGCCTGAACCTGGCACTGTCCCCCTCTGAGGGGGGGGACATCTCTTGTCCCCAGCAGCTCCAAGCCACAAACCAGCCTCTCTGGGCTCACACAGAGCAGGACCCAACCCTCCCACGCCCCAGTTTCCCCGGCTGCAGGAGGGGGTGGGTGATGCTCCAGCAGCGGGACCAGCAGGGATGCAGAGAATGGGCAGTGGGGCTCCAAGCCCTGGTCTTGGGGCCACCTCGTTGTCCCCTGCGCTGTGTCCCCAGAAGCAGGAGGTTTCCTGGGCCAATGGGGTCCAAGATCACCAGGAAAGGGATTGGGACAGTGATACTGGCCAGAGGTGGGGTCCTCCCCCAGGAAAACCAGGGGAGATCCCGGATGGATTTGAGCCCCACAGGGACAGCCCCTGGGGGGACTGGTTGGATGCAGCCTGGCAGCGCATCCCCGGCCCCACAGGGCTCTGCTTGCACCAAACAGGGGCTGGGACCCTTCCTGTCCCCCCACAGTGGCCCCTAAGGACAGTGAGTGGTCTCCAAGCCTGGTGCCCCCTCGCTCTGTCCCGCTCCCACCCCAGCTCTGCCCCCTTACCCTCCCCGAGCCTTCCTCCGCACCCGGCAGCGCTTCTCCCTCGCTCTGGCCAGCACAGGGGACAGCCACTGCTCACAGTGACCGTCCTGTGGCCCCCCCAGGCTGGTGGGGGCCCCTTTGGGGTTGGTGGGGGCAGCCGGCCGGGCACTGCTGGGCCCTGGCACCGCACGGAGCCGGCTGGTCCCAGGGCTGGTACGTGCACGGGGGCGGCTGCAGCTGAAGCTGGGCCAACATCCCTGGCACGTGACGTGTCCGTGGGGTGACAGTGTGTCTGTTTGTCCCCTGGGATGGACACAAGCAGCCAATCCCCCCATCCCTTGCTGGAGAGCCCACTCTCACCGTGCTGCAGAGCTGCTTTGGCAGGGAGGGAAGCTGAGGCCCAGGTGGCCCCAGGCCACGGCAGCCACAGCCGAGCTCTGGGCTGCAGAGCTGGACCCGCAGGGGCTGTCCTGTCCCACCACATCCTGGTGCTGCCCACCAGGAAAACCAGCCTGGCCTGGTTTTCCAGCTGCTGGAAAATGTGCTCCCAGGTCAGCATCCAACTACCAAAAAGCTCCTGCAGGACCCCAAAACCCCCCAACTGACCGGGATGGCCCCCAGGCCTGGCAAGTCATGGGGAGCTGGGACCCCTCACCTGCAGCTCTGACCTTCCTCCAGCAGCCCCCCACAGCTCCAGGCTCTGCCTCGCAGTCCTGGCGTTCCTGGGGTGCTGGGGCAGGCTCGAGAAAAGCTCTTTGCATTCCTCCTCCTGAGGGCTCTGGAGGAACCCCCCCAGCTGCAGAGAGGAGCCAAAAAAGGCCTTTTAGGGACAATTCCTGGTGGTTCCAGCACCTCAGTTCCTTAAGGAGTGGCTGGGACTCGGTGGGACAAGGTGCTGGAAGACGATGTCCCCCTCACCGATGTCCCCTCACTGATGTCCCCCCTTCCGATGGCCGGTGAGGGTTCCAAACAGGAAACCTGGCTGACAGGACACCAACCCTGCGGAGGGGAAGTGAGTGGAGGGTGTGAGGGCTGTGGGGAGGGACAGGTTTCTTAAGGTGGAGAGAGCCGGCTCTGAGTGCCGGAGTCTGCCCAGGGCACTGGGCACCATCCCCACCCCGGGGCTTGCAGAGCCACACAACCCTGTCCCGGTGCGATGGATGAGTTGGCCCCCGCCCTAATCCCTTTCCTAATCCCTAATCCCCGCAACCCCTGGGACGCAGCCGGGTTGGCACCGCTGTCGCCGTGGGGCGGCTGGAGCCTGGCACCGCCCGGAGCGAGGGTGGCAGCTGGCACGGGGCAGAGCAGCAGCGCAGGCAGCTCGGCCGCTGTTTGCTGTGTCGATGCCCCCGGCACTTCCCAGGAATGTGCCTGGCTCTGGCAGCCGGAGCCTGAGGAAGGGGGATGGTGCTGGATTCCACCATGCCAGGACCGAACCTTGGCTCATGGCGTGACCCTGGGCACACCAAGCCCCGCTGCCCCCTCGCCCGCGAGGTCCCAGGATGAGGATGGGAGGAACAGGAGCCCCTTGAAGGTGTGGATGTGCCGGTGGGAGGGTGGCCGGAGCCCCCTCCTCGCCACAGCCCAGCCTGCCCCTTGGGTGCCGGTGTCAGCTCGATGTCAGTCACCCCAGTGCCACCCTGCCACCTTCCCGTGACGTCTCCCCACCCCGCGAAGGCTCTTTGCAGCTTCGGTTGCCGCTTCCTGCCCGTCGCGGGAGGGGAAGGCGCGAGCACAGGCAGGGCAGGGGCTCTGCCCACCCTGCCCGTCCCCTGCCCGTCCCCCTGCCCACTCCACCACCTCCAGCCACGGACACCCGGCCCACCGAGGCCGGACAGAGGTAGGAGCGTGGGCTGGGGGTCAGGGCCGGGGTTGGATTCGCACCGAGGCCGAGCAGCAAACCCCGAGCAGGGGGACACGGGCCGGGCCGGCGCCGGGACACTCCCCCCACCCCAGGGCACGATGGAGGACGGGCGCGACAAAGGGGTGCAAAGGGAGGGAGTGGTGCCCCTTGCCTGCCCCAGCCCTACCAGCCAGATCTGAACCCCTCTGAAGGGGGAAGTCCAGCCCAGGAAGGTCTCTCGGGGCAAAGCCTTCAGGCCCATTTCAAGTCTGACCTGAGCCGTTCCCACCTCAGGAGTGCAGGGTTTCAGAGGCACATCCCACCCCGAGGAGCAGAGCCTCCCGAGTTGCCCCACTGAGGCCAAGGTGCTGGGGGTGGGGGAGGAGGGATGAGCCCCCACCTCCGCGCTGGCCCCTCCCCGGGCTGGGGGACGCACAGCGAGCCAGGGACAGTGGCATTGTCCCCAGCTGCCCGGCCATGCCCAGGCACGACCTGACTCGAATTCGCCTCCCCAGTGTTCCTCGAGCTGAGTTGCTGCAGTTTGGGTTGGTTTGTTTCGCTTTGTCAGCACCTTCCCCACCTTCCCCTGCCCGCGGGGGTGCAGGGCCGGGCTCGGTGCTGCCGCGGGTTAAAGGTGGAGCCGGGGTGCCTTTCCCGCGGCTGGGTGCCTCTGCTCTCAGACAAGCCTCTACCAGCTCCTCTGACTCAGCTTTGCCTCCCGGATCCAACCACCCCCAGCATCTTCCACTCCCTCAAGCATCTGCTGGGGATTCACGTTGCTTTGCCAGGTGTTGGTGGCTTGGGGTGGAGCTCGGGGTCCCTCGGGAGCTGCTCATCCTCTCCCTCCCCTTCCTGGCGCTGACCTAAAACCTTTGAGGACTTTGTGGGGACTGGAGGATTCACATACTTTCCACCCACCTCCTCCCCACCCAGCTCACCCATCCCCCGGGGCTTTTCTCCTCTGGGGTCCTGGGTCACTGTCCCTTCCTGCCATGTGGATCCACAGTGGGGGGGTGAGCCCAGGGTGGTGTCCCTGGGGGAGGAGGAAGATGATGAGCCTGAGGTTGAGGGGCTCAAGGTGATGGTGATGCTTACCCAGGTTGTTGGTGAGAGCAGCACCTGTGTGGGGGGGTGTCATGGAGCCCTCCCACCCCCCAGTGCCCTACGGGCAGTGAGGGGGCACAGGGCAGCTCAGGACCCCAAGAGAGACTTCACTGCCCTGAACCTTTCTCCCTGTTCCCTGGGACAGGGGACTCCATGGATGACGACCGTCCCCTCTTCACCACCTTCAAACCCAGTGAGGACAACACAGCCAAGCCAGGAGCCAACACAACCCCCGTCCAGCCCCAGGGAGCAGAGCAGTCCCCGGGACACCACAACAGACACGGCAGGGTAGGACAAGGGGACATGAGGGGTCCGTGCCCCCCTGGGCTGTCCCACCACTCCTGAGCTCACACACCTGCAGGGGCCGTGTCATTGTGGGCCTGCACAGAGCAGAACATCCCTGGGGCACGTCCTCACCCGAGCCCTGGCTGCTGTCCCCTTCCCTCCAGGTCCCACCAGGTTCCTTCTGGCCATCCCCACCAGGCTGGTCCCCGCCAGAGCTGGTGGCCCTGCGTGCCCAGACGAGGCTGTGGTTTGAGCAGACACAGGCCTGGAGGCTGAGGCCCGAGGGGGAGCTCCCAGTTTGGTTCCATGGCTTCCTCAGTCGGAGGTAAGTGGGGGGAGGCCGAGGCAGCAAATGGGGTGGCCCCTTCACCCCCTCAACTTCCCCATGCCTGGGCTCCAAAACAGGGAGCTGGATCCCTGGATCCCACGGAGGGGGTGAGGGTGAGTGGCTCCCGGCTCCTTCCCACAGGGAGGCAGAGCAGCTGCTGCAGGATCGGCCCCTGGGCTGCTTCCTCGTCCGCTTCAGCGAGAGCACCGTCGGCTTCGTCCTCTCCTACAGGTGAGGGATCCCGCCCCCGTCCGAGGGGCCGACGTGCTCGATCCCGTCCCTCCCCTGGTGCCAATCCCGTTCCCTCTCCCTCCAGGGGCAGGGATCGCTGCCGGCACTTCGTCCTGGACCAGCTGCCGGACGGGCGGTACGTGATCCTGGGGGAGCCGAGCGCCCACGCCGAGCTGGCCGAGCTGCTGCAGCACCACACCACGGCCCCCATCGTGCCCTACCACGAGTTCCTCACGGCGCCCGTGCCCTGCACACGGGTGAGACCCCAGCCCCTCGTGAGCCCCTGCGGCCCTGGAGTCATTCCGGCTGCTGCAGATGGGCTGATTTTCCCAAGCTGGTGAACGAAGCCAAGGGAAGTCCAAGCATCATGAAAGCCACGGTTGGAACCGGAGCCACCCTGGCCACCGGGAGCAAGGAGCCAGCCCACGGGGAGCACTCCAGACCAGCCGGCATCTCTCTGCTCTCCCTGCAGGAAGACGAGCCCCGAGGAGGGACGCAGACCCCAGCTGGCAGCAGTGCTGCGCGTTCCCCGCTGAGCGAACCACCCGCAAAACTCCCGGAGTACAGCCCTGTGTCCCTGGAGCCCCCGGGAGCCAAGCCAGCAGCCCCGGTCCCCGCCCAGCCTGTGGAGCCCAGCGCCGAGGGGGGCTCCCCCAGGGAGGTAACAGGGCAGAGCAGGGGGGTGGAGACATTTTTCCAAAGGACGGCCCGGGCACAGCTCTCACCAGGTGGAGGGGCACAGCCAGGACGGGGGCCGCAGCCCCAGCCACCACAGACCCTCCCTCATCTCCAACCTGTCCCGTCTCTTGCCCAGGCTCGCAGTGCCCCTCCATCGCTCCCAGCCAAGACCAGCTCCCGGGCCGTGGCTCAGGGGCCGCACAGTCCCGCCGGCAGCGCGGCAGCTCCCGAAGGTGCCTACGCCCGGGTGCACAAAGAAGCTGCTCCTCCCGTGCCCCCCGAGGCCAAGTACCAGCAGCTCATGTGCTTCCACATCTACGCCGAGCCCCGCGAGGGCAGCGCCCCCAGCCCCCCCACCTACTGCGAGCCGGAGGAGCCCATCCCCTTCTACGCCATGGCCCGGAGCTGCAGCCCCCGCGCCGCCCCCGAGGAGAACATCTACTCCGAGGTGGCGCTGGCCCGGCAGGACCCGCCCGCTCCGCTGCCCAGGGAGCCCAAAGCCGCCTTCTCCACGCTGGCCCCCAAATCCCGGCCCCACCGCCGGCTCTTCCGCAGCTTGTCCAGCCAGGATTACAAGAGGCGGCAGCTCCCGGCGGCTCCCACCGCAGGCGGGGCGGAGAGAGGAGCCTCCAGCCCGGGCACAGAGGTGGGTCCCCCAGGGCAGGTCGCTGCTCTAGAGCTCAGTCCCAATAGGACATCAGAGTCACGTTGGGACTGAGGAGTCTCCAGGCCTCCTGGAGGCTGGGGGAGTTAGGGTTTGCTCCACACCAGGAGCACAGGGAGAATCACAGAAACCTAGAAATGGTTTGGGTTGGAAAGGACTGGAAAGCTCATCTCACTCCACCTCCCTGCCATGGGCAACCTTCCACTATCCCAGGTTGCTCCAAGCCCTGTCCAACCTGGCCTTGGACACTTCCAGGGATGGGGCAGCCACAGCTTCTTTGGGCAACCTGTGCCAGGGCCTCCCCACCTTCACAGGGAAGAATTTCTTCCCCATACCCCATCTAGCCCTGCCTGCTGTCAGGGTGAAGCCATTCCCCCTGTCCTGGCACTCCCGTCCCTTGTAACTCGAGCAAAGCCGAGGGCTGGGAGGGTGAAGGACCAACTTTGAGCCATCTCCTGGCTCTCCAGTCCAAGCTCTTCTCCCCGTGGATTCTGCAGGGTGTGCTGAGCCCTGTGCTGGAGTTGGATGACCCCGTGTACGGCCGGAGCACACGCAGGGCCCAGCGGGGCACAGCCACGGACGAGAACGTGTACGAGCAACTGCCTGGGGACCAGCCCTGAGCCACCGGCACATGGGACAAGACCTGGCTCCCAGGCAGGAGGAACCTCAGCCTCCATCCCCCTGGAGGAAGACTTTGGCCCTGGGAGGAGACACCCAAGGCTGCTGTTGACCCCAGCAGCCCTATGATGCTGATCTGCTCTGTGCAGAGCCCCACACTCTTCCCAAGCCCTGAGGAACAGCACACAGGGGACTGGAGTTAACTTACCTGTGAACACATTCCTCATTCATCAAATGAGGGTGGAAAAGGCTATTCCAGGAAAAACAGGGACAGGTTTGGCACAGTTGGTGCATCCAGTGTTAAACTGGCCGGAAGCTGGAGCGACACCGAACCTCCCCAGCCTGGAGCTCACACTCCAAGTCCTGCCTGCTTCCTCAGCCACAAAACTTGGGATAGCACCAAACCTGAGGACCAGCCCTGGCTGGTGGGATGGTACAGAGCCAGGACTGCCCTGAGGGATACCTGGTGGAGCACAAATCCCAGCTGGAATGACACCAAGCCACAGCAATACTGTCAGCAGCCCTGGTGTGCCCAGCTCGACGGGAGCAGGGAGCCGGGACAGCCAAAGCTCCTTTCCAGAGGGAAAAGGAGGGCTGGGGCAGCTGTAGCTGTTTTATCTCTGGGAAAAAAAAAAAATCACTGTCACTGCTCACAAACCTGAATTTTGTTGCTCTTAAAAGGCTGAAAGCAGAGCATGAGCCCTCAGAACTCCCCTTAGTGCTAAACCTGAGCCGTTACTGCAACGTGAGAGTTCCAGCCTCTCCCAGCTCCTTCCAGCACCCCCCAAACCCTGATAAAGGGCAGTTTGGGCACACACAGGCTGTGCCCCATGCAGCAAACACCCCGGGTGAGGGGCTGAGCCCCCTGCCATGGAAATGGGGCTGGTTGGCTTCATTCAAAAGTTTATTCCTTTATCAAACCTCTTCTGGGAGGATTTCGCTGTACATACAAGATATGAATAAATTACTCAACAGTAACTTTATTCTGATCATTCAAATACTCAAAACGGGCTTTGCAAAGTACTAAACATCCAGGGAACTAAACTAGAAATGAGATTAGTTTAAAGTGTTCTAAGAAAAGACTTCAGTCATAGGGGGTTTCCTTGTTTTTAACAGACAACATGGGAGAAAAAACCCCTCTCGGGAGTTTTTCTTACTGGAAAAACAAATATTGGCCGTTTCAGCTGTGGTTACAAGTATAACCCAGAGTGGTGGGAATGTAAGTTAAATAACCAGACCAGCTCTCTGCTCCCCTCAGCATCACACGGTTTGGTGAACAACAAAGTGATGCCACAGAGATCTGGATCCATGGATTAGGCCAGCAGGGCTGCACAGGATTTGGAGTTGCATCACCTTGATGGAATTCCTTAAATAAAAAAAAGGTTTAATTTTAAGAAGTTAGGGCTGGACATGGTCTCCTCTTCCCACCCAGGAGGATAAAGTCAGCACTTAATTGGAACAGAACTGATACAAACAAGCTGGGGAAAAAAAAATGTAGTTGGCAGCTCTCCTCTGTGTGTGCCCAGAGGAAACACTGCCGAGCTCACTCCCAGCAGGACACTGGGACACTCAGTTTGATGAGTCTGGGAACAGCCTGGGGCACCACTGTAGGGGGAGGAGGAAAGAAGGGGGAAAAAGGAAGGACAATATACATACACACATGGCTCAGGGTATCCCAAAGCCCTGAGTGTGCCAGGCAGGAGAGCCTCACAGACTGTCCTGCACTGGGGCGTCCCCTCAGCGTGGCTCAGGCTGTGGACACCAACTTAAAAACCAGGATGCCAAAATCATCAGCAGGAGAGGAGAGCTGGAGTGGCTCAGACATGAGGAAGCAGCCATGAGGATGTCTCAAAGATAAGGACAAAATAAAAAATCCAAAGCCAGGCTTGCTCTTGGAACTCACCGTCTCTTAGAAAGAAAAACGACACCCTCAATGCACAGCGAGTCCAGGAGAGCAAAGTGGGAATTGGGAGTTTATTGAGCCTCTGCCGGAGGGTCTGGCAGCAGGAGGAGCAGCCCCTGCTCCCACGGGACAGGAGCTCCAGCCTCGCTCCCGGCACATTCCCTGCGGCACCTCGGGACCGTCCTCGGTTGGTCAGAACCTTCCACGTTATCGTTTACAAGGAGGGAAGGGAAGGATTACAGGTGGAGTTTCATCAGGACTGGCTTGCAGTGAACCTTCCTCCTGCCAGGCAAGGCAGCTCAGCGTCCTCCCTCCCGCCGAGCAGCCCCGTCCTGCGCGGGGCCCGGCTCATCTCCCGGGAGACGTCGGACACTGCGGGTCACGCGCGACGCCAGCCAGAAAGTGGGACAGATGTGTCAGAATCCGTATTTGGCTTGAGTCTGCCGTCTGCTGAGCTTGTTTTCAGACCATGTGTTTTTCAGTTCCAGCTCTCTCTCCTTGGCCTGCAGACACGGAGAGGATGCTGTTACGCTCTGCGTTTCAGTGACTCAGCAGCATTCCGGCCTCCTCCGGCCCCGCTCACATGGATTACAGAGCCCTTCAGCCAGAAGCCTCGTTACAGGAGTTCACACAATCATCCTGACAGAGGCCTGGATTAACTGGGCTGCACGGGCATTTCATTCATGCTGAAATGCAGCTTCTCTTGTGGGATGGGCTCAGCAGCTGCTCGACAACCCCGGGGTGGAATATGGATGGGATCCCAGAGCCTCGGGACACACATGGGAAGGGTGAAGCAAAGCTGAAAACTCAGGGCTGGGACCCCCTCAGGGCCAGGACCCACCTCTGGCCCCACTGGAGCCATGGCACATCTCACCCAGGGCTGAGACAGCCCCTGGTCTGGTCCCACTGTGGGTCACCCAGGGCACAGAGTATTCCCAGGGACATCCCCTGGTCCCCAGCTGCTGGAACAGCAGCTCCACCACTCTGGCCTTGTGCTGCCAAGCCTTGAAATTCCACCTGGATTGGCTCCCACACCAGGGGAAGCCACTCACCTGATGGATCAGGTATGTGATCTGGTGTTTTCTCCTTTGCTGTCCCGTGGGCTGATCTCCTTTTTTCTGGAAAGCAAAAGGAGGTGAAGTGTTCAGCCTGGAGAGACACTGCTGGACAGCAGACCAAGGCCAGGGCCTGCACGCAGCCATCCCAGGCACCATTTGTTCCCTATTAAATGGCAGATTTCTTCATCTGAAGCAGTTCCTGGCTGGTCCTCACCACCCACACACCATGCTCTGAGCTCTCCTGATCTCTCATACGTCATCATTTACCAGGGTCCCTTGTCCCCACCCTGGTGACCGCCCAGCATCCAACACAGCTCCAGCTGGGGCTGATTTGGGATCTGAGGTCCCAACCCCAGCCAACCCCTGCCCTCCACCCCACCTTGCTGAAGGACTTCATGGTCTTCTCCTCCGTCAGGGACTTGGTCAGCCACTGCTGGGCCCCGCTCAGCTGGTCATCACCTTTGATATCCACAAAGTTGATCTCCTCCCTCCCCCGATTCCGCTTGCCTTGCAGACGCTTGAACTGAAGGAAGAACAGAACAGCTGGAATTACACCCACCCATCACACCCTGACACAAGGCCGAGGGGCTGAGCCCCTGCTCCTTCCAGTGAGGGACAAGGCACAGCAACAGTTTTCCAGACAGGATTTTTATCTTTAGGAGATTTCTGCTTTGCTGTAGATCAGAGTATCTAAAGCTACTTAGCATGAAGGTTATCATTTTCCTATGCTGAAAACAGCCATTTATTCCTGCTTCCAGCCTTGCTCAGGAGACCCCTGGAGTCCTGAGTGTCTTGTTTTAAGAGCCAGGGAGGCACCTGGCCTGTACCAGCCATTCTGTGGCCACATGGCCATGGGCAGTGACTGTCCCCATGCTGGGCACTGATGAGGCTCCACCTTGAGTCCTTGGGTCAGTTTTGGGCCCCTCATGACAAGAAAAATGTTGAAGGCCTGGAGTGTGTCCAGAGAAGGGAATGGAGGTGGGGAAGGGTCTGGAGCACAGGAAGGGTCTGGGGAACTTCTGAGGAGTGACTGAGGGAGTTGAGAGGGCTCATCTTGGAGAAAAGGAGATTCAGGAGGGACCCTCTGGCTCTCTACAACTCCTTGACAGGAGGGTGGAGCCACATGGGGGTCGGGCTCTGCTCCCAGGGAACAAGGGACAGGATGAGAGAAAACGGCCTCAAGTTGTGCCAGGGGAGGTTCAGGTTGGATATAGGGAAAATTCCTACACCCAAAGGGTCGTCCAGCCCTGGCACAAGCTGCCCAGGGCAGTGGTAGAGTCACCGTCCCTGGAGGAATCTAACAGCTGTGTGGATGTGGCACATCAGGACGGGGTTTACTGGTGGCCTTGGCAGTGCCGGGGGAACAGCTGGACTCCATGATCTTGGAAGGCTTTTCCAACCCCAACAATTAATTCTGTTCTCATCAAGCCTGCAGACCTGGCTGGAGCAGGAGCTCAGCAGACTGTGGGAAGGACTCACATGTCCACACCCCAGCTCGAAACCCCATGGAACAACCACCCGGCCCATCCCAGGGGAAGCACAGGACGTGCTGCGGGGGCAGGACCGTGGCTGCCAAGTGGGTCCTGTGTTCTGGGAGAGCTCAAAGCCAAATTCCACAGCAGGACAGACAAAGTGCCAACCGCTTCGTCGTCGATGAAGGAGGAGTCGGTGCTCGTCTCCTGCGGCGGTGCCTGGGCTGGTTCCACCTCCGGGTAGTACCCGCTGCTGTAGTAATCCTGGCAGGGAAAGGGAAGCCAGTTGGTCACGAGAGTGAAGCAGGAGGGATCCTGCCCGTGGGCTGCTGCTTTTTCACCCCGAGGGATTTCATCAGAGGTACAAACCAACAAATGCTTTGAGGGGCTTTTCACAACAGCCTGGAGTGACAGGACGTTGGGGAATGGTTTCCTACTGCCAGGGGGCAGGGTTAGATAGGATATGGGAAGAAATTCTCCCCTGTGAGGGTGGTGACACCCTGGCACAGGTTGCCCAGAGAAGCTGTGGCTACCCCATCCCTGGAAGTGTCCAAGGCCAGGCTGGACAGGGTTTGGAGCAACCTGGGATAGAGGAAGGTGTCCCTGCCCATAGCAGGGGGTGGAACGAGATGGGCTTTAAGGTTCCTGTGGACCCAAACCAGTCTGTGATTTTATGAATTTCTAGAAACAATGTGGGCTCAAACACCAGCTCTGGTGAGCCCCAACTCTGCACTCTCACACCAGGGGCATTTTCACAGGAATACAGCTGTCCAACATCTGTCCAGCAAAGAACATCTGCAGCTCTTGTGCCACAGGAACCCCCCTTGTGTCCAGTGGTGTGGTTCCCTGCTCTGTGTTCTGGCCAGCTCACAAAAGATAGAATTTCCTGCTCCGTGTCCTGGTCAGTTCTCAAAGGTTGGATTCCCTACTCCATATCCCAGCCAGCTCACATGGGCTGGATTCCCTAGTCCATGTCCCACGTAGCTCACATGGGCTGGATTCCCCGCTCTGTCCTGGCCACGCACATGGGTTGATTTCCCTGCTCCGTGTCTCTTACTCCACCTCCCAGCTAGGCTGGATTCCCTGCTCTGTGTCCCAGGTAGTTCACATGGGTTGGATTGCTACTCTGTGTCTCACCCAGCTCACATGGGTGCATTCCCTGCTCCAAGTACTGGCCAGGTCACAGAGGTTTCATTCCCTGCTCCATGTACTGGCCAGGTCACAGAGGTTTCATTCCCTGTTCCATGTACTGGCCAGGTCACAGAGGTTTGGATTCCCTGCTCCATGTACTGGCCAGGTCACAGAGGTTTGGATTCCCTGCTCCATGTACTGGCCAGGTCACAGAGGTTTGGATTCCCTGCTCCATGTACTGGCCAGGTCACAGAGGTTTGGATTCCCTGTTCCATGTACTGGCCAGGTCACAGAGGTTGTATTCCCTGTTCCATGTACTGGCCAGGTCACAGAGGTTGCATTCCCTGCTCCAAGTACTGACCAGGTCACAGAGGTTTCATTCCCTGCTCCATGTACTGGCCAGGTCACAGAGGTTTCATTCCCTGTTCCATGTACTGGCCAGGTCACAGAGGTTTGGATTCCCTGCTCCATGTACTGGCCAGGTCACAGAGGTTTGGATTCCCTGCTCCATGTACTGGCCAGGTCACAGAGGTTTGGATTCCCTGCTCCATGTCCCATGTATCTCTCATGGGCTGGACTCCCAGGAGCAGCTGCCCCAGTACGTAACTCAAGCCCCTCACCCCAGTTGTGCCCCGAGCCCCTCCCTCACCTGCAGCCAGCGCACCCACCTGGTAGTAGCCGCCGGGCTCGCCGTAGGCAGGGGGGAACTGGCCGTAGGGGTGGCTGCCGTAGTCCTCGCCGGGTTTGGGTGCCCAGCTGTGCTGAGCCCCGCTCGAGCCCGCGCCCGTCTTGAACTCCAGAGGGGCGTTGGCGGCCGCGTCCTGGAACTGGGGCTCCGGCTCTGTGCCGGGCGGTGGGTCCTCCGCGCCCACCGTGCCGGGGTACAGGTAGGGCTCGGCGGCCGCGGCGCTGGGCTCGCTCCTGTCGGACAAGGAGAAGTAGTTCTCTGGCTCCAGCTCCTCGTCGCTGTCCTCCTCCTCCTGCGTGATCTGCTTGGTTACCTGCAGCGCCGCGCTCTTGGCCGCGGCTTTGATGGCCGACGGGGACGGAGTGGTGGGCACGGCCGGCTTGGACGCGGGTTTGGCTTTGGAGGAGGAAGAGGTCGGGGCCTTGGCGGGCTTGGAGTCGGAGTTCTCTCCTGCCTTCCTGGAGAAGGCGTAGGGCAGGAGTAACCGGTTGGTCTCTTTCACTGTCAGATTTTTGGGCTGAGGAAGCAGAGCGGACAAGCCGGAGCCCTCGCCGCGTCCCTGGGGAGATCCGTGTGGGACAAGTGGATCACAGGAATAAGAGAAAAGAGTGAGACTATTTACTTTTCCTGATTATCTGCTAATTATCCCCCCCAATTCTTACAACACTCCTGGGTTTCCCAACACTTGGCTGCACAAAAGGCCAGGGGCGCTTTGAAGGGAAACTGGCAAGCCTCTGTCCAATTCCCAAATTGCTGCCTCTTTCTCCAAGATTTAAATTGCCCAAAAAAGGGACTTGACACCCCACCGGATTTCAGGAATATCCCCAAAGCCATGAGCTGATCAGAGTGGCTGATTCACATGAGTGGAAGGCCAAGACTGGTCACAGTCAAACACTTGTTCAATTGAGTGCCCTCGGTATTTACCTGAAGAGTATTTTTCTTCTTTGCTGGTTCATCTTCCTCTGAATCTGACTGAGAGAGAAAACCAGAGCTCAGCAAAACCTGAGATACTAAACTAAAAAGGTACTATTAATAAATCCCAGGAAAATAAATCCAAGGGAAGAACTCCAGGGGCACAGCAGCAGGTCAGGGCTCTCCTTCAGAGGGACAGACAACAATGGAATTACTGAAGCACAAATCACACAAAGGGTGTAAAATTCACTGCAGGGACACAGGGAATTATTCCCAATAACATTGGAACTGTTAAATATCCAGTTAAAATCTGAGTGAAAAGCCTGGTTGGCATCAGAAAAGGCCCTCAGTATCTTTATGCCTTCATGGCTTCGCAGAGGACTTGGAAGAGGCGACAGGAATCAAGGGCTTGTACCAGTTTATCCCTAAATCATAAACCAGGGAAAGACAAGGAATGTGTATAAATAAAAGGAGTCAGGAGAGACCATAAACCCATGTGTTGGTTTGGGAGAGAGGAGACACTGCAGCCGCCCTGGAGCATCTCCATGGGATGAACTACAGGGATGGGAGGGATTTTAAGGAGAAAGAGGGATGTTAGTCACAGGCTCAGGGACTTCTAGGAATCCCAAGCTCCAGTTTTGTCCCTTCAATGTTCATTCACTCATTTGACATCAATGACCTGTGGGATTTGTGGTCAGAGCCCACACACCGGAGCATGGAGTACAGGAAGAACAAATCCCTGTTCATTCCAGCTGCCTGGAATCACACCACAGAGCTGCAAGGAGGTGAGTAAGCAAGAAGTGGGTATGAGGGACCGGTACATCCCTCATCCATCTGCCCCAGGGGCTGAGCTCTGTGTCCCACTGTCCGGTGTCCCTCTGGCAGCCACGGCACACGGAGCTCTGGCTCTGGAATTTGCCAGACTGGGATGGTTACTGGGAGCAGAGTGTGGTTCAGGGAAGGCTGGGGAGCCCGTGTCCTCCCCCCTCTCCCTGTGACCCCGCAGACTCTCCCAGCAAAGCAACAATGCTGATTTTATCTGGGCTCCCCCAAGGTTCTGCCAGACCACTATTAGTGGACGTTGTTTATAAATGCAAAGTCAAACCTCTTCCTCAAGGCACCTATCCCCAGGGAAATGACTCCAAGCTTCCAGTTCAGCTCCTCCTACAGCCACAGGTGCTCCCGTCACACCAGAACCAGCGACGCCACCGTCACCTCTGTGTGAGGTTGGATGGGACTCTGGGCAACCTGGGCTAGTGGAAGGTGGCCCTGCCCGTGGCAGCCGGTGGGATGGGATGAGCTTTAAGGTCCCTTCCAACCTAAACCACTTCAGGATTCCATGCGCTGGTTTAGACTGGGATATTGGGAAGAAATTCTTGGCTGCCAGGGTGGTGAGGCCCTGGCACAGGTTGCCCAGAGAAGCTGTGGCTGCCCCATCCCTGGAAGTGTGCTCCCAGGTCGGATGAGGCTCTGGGCAACCTGGTCTAATGGAAGGTGTCCCTGCCCAGGGCAGAGGGTGGAACCGGATGAATTTTAAGGTCCCTTCCAACTCAAACCATTTCAGGCTTCTATGACAGTGCTGTCCCAGAGGGAATGAGCAGAAAGGGAGAGGATGGAACCTGATCAATGGGAACCCTGAGTCAAAAAACAGGTGGGCGGGGAACTGCCTTTCCCTGCTCTCACTGTCTGGATTCAGGAGCCCCGTAAGGCACAGGGCACCGTAAACACCAAAAAAACACAAGCTGAGAAGGAAATGGTCATCTAAAAGTCTAGAAGTTGCCTGATGCCTTTAGATAAATAACCAATAAATTGACAGGAAAATCTATCAACTGCATAGGAGGCAAGAGAGACTTTTTGGGGCTACGAGGCCCTGCAGCTCCACACCATCAACTCGTTAACTCCAGAAGTAAAGAAGGGTGCAGATAATCTGGGTTTTGCTGCATTATGATTATAAATAAGGTTTCTATATCAGTTTAATTCTGCAAAGCGCTTTAGGATTAGGGCAGGCAGCCAGGACAACCTTCCCCGTGGATGCCACAACAATAGATCTCGGTGTGTTACGGTGGGAGAGAGCGAGGGAAGGAGACCCGCGGCGGGGGAGGGAGGTTTGACCCCCGAAGGGCTCGAGCGGCGGGGGTTCGCTCCATACTCACATCTCCCTTCTGCAACTCGGGCGCCGCGATCCGCACCGGCTCCGTCCTCTTCTTTGGCTTGGGGAGGCCCAAACCCGCGCCGGGGGCGGCCGGGCCGGGGGGGGAGGCGGCGGCCGCCGCGTTCCTGGGGGGCGGCAGGAGGAGGCCCCTCGGCCTGGGGGGCTCCGCGGCCCCGTCCCCGCTGTCGGCCGGCTCGGGGGGGCTCTCAGCCCCGGCCTGGCCCGGCGCGGCGCTGGCGAAGCCCCTCACGGCGGGCGGGGGGCCCATGAGGAACGGCGGGGGCACCGCGGGGGCTCTGGGCGGGGGCAGCGCGGCGAAAAGCCCCCCCCGGGCCGGGGGCTGCTCTTCTGCGGCCGGAGGGGAAGCGGGAGCTTCCTCCTCCTCGGCCGCGGGCTCTTCTGCATCGCTGTCCTCCTCGCTGCTGGCGTAGGCCACGAGGGACATGGCCCCGGGGAGGGCGGCCCTCGGCGGGCAGCAGCCGCTACGCGAGGCCGGGGATCCGCCCCTCCGCGCTAGGCCGCGCCGCCGCCGCGCCTTCAGCGCCCGCGGCGGGGAGGAAGGGACGGGCTGAGGGGAGGCTACGCCGCCATGGCGGCCTCTCTCCGTGCCGGCGGCGGAGCCGCGGAGCTCGGCGAGGCGGCGGCGGCGGCTCCGCGCTCCCCGGTAATGGCTGCCGGCAGCGCCCCGCTACTCGCGCCGCGGCGCCGCCGGACTACAACTCCCGGGGTGCTCCGCGCGCGGCGCCCAGCCCGCCTCCTGGGTGGCCCCGCCGCGAGGCTCCACGGGAAATGTAGTCCGCGATGCCACGCGGCAGGACCCCCGGGCGGGACCGGGACCGGGACCGGAGGAGGGGGATGCGGGAAGACCCCGGGGGGACGAGACGCGACAGGGATGGAGACGGGAACGGGGACGAGGATGAGGAGGCGGGAAGGCTCGGCCCGCCCCGCCCCGGCCAGGCCGCGCAGTTCATCCCCAAACTGCGGCTCCCGGTGTGTCCCCAGCGCCCGGTGCGGTGTCACCGGGGCAGACAGCGAGGGGCTGAGAGGCTCTTCCTTCCTCCCATCCTTTCATCCCGGTGTAATTCTGGGGTAGGATCAGGCCTGCAAAGCCCCGGTGGAGGCTGCTGGAGCGGGATGCTGGAGCGGGATGCGGGAGCTCCCGGCCGGGATTCCCGAGCAGCCGGTTTATCCCTCCAGCGCCCCGCTGACTTTCGGTTTGACTCCTTTGACCTCCTTCTAGCTTGTTCTGGCCTTAATAAGCAGCGAGCTGGGCTCGAATTTGGGTCCCCAGCACCCAGGGAAGCGATTTGCAGAAGCACTGCACAAATAATTAAAGCAAAATGGAGATAAACGAGGAGCGTGTCCTGAACCCTCTGTCATTTGGAATGGTGTGAAATCCAGCCAGTGCGCCCTGTGCCACCCCTCCTGTGCCACCCCTCCTGCCCTGCTCCGGAGGGCTGAGGAGTGTTAAAAATACAGTATTAAAAATAGGCACGGAGGCCTCAGGGAGCGGGAGGGATGGGCATGGGAGGCTGCAGGGAGCTGGGACACAGGAGTTACGTTTTCCCCCACTCTTTACACGGCCAAGACCCATGAGGGCAAAGCACAAGGACACTGAGGAGGAAATGTGGGTTCCGTGACCACCAGAAACAGTGAGACGTTGCCTTGGCTGTGACACGTGTGTGGCCACTTGTAGGGCGAACTCCTCATCACAGGTGTCTGAACCCCAAAGTGTGTCATGGAGGTGTCCAAGCCTTTTCCCTTCACAGCTCTGCCCACCCACTCTCCAAATCCAATGGAAACTGAGACACAGATGGGGATTTTTGTGGGATTTTTATGCCCTGTTGCTGCCACTTCCCCAGCAAAACCTCCCTTGGGCTCATATAGAGTCATATTTGAGCTGGAAGTGACCTTAAAGACCGTCTGTTTCCAACACTCCTGCCATCCTAAGGATGAGTTGGAATCTCCCCAGTGGATTTTTTTTCCCCACTCCTTCCTAAGCCCCTAGATTTGTGAATTTTTAGGATTTAGGAAAGGGAAAGAGGCAATTCCTCGAGAAGCACAGAGTGGTTCCACCACCCCGAGCTGTGATGTGAGGCCACCCTCGTCCTCTGCCAAGGAAAATCAACAAGGACCCTGTTGGGGAGAGGAGGGACCCAGTTTAAACAAGGTCCAGCTCCTGCTGCGCAGAAGGAGGGAGGAATCCTTGTTTCCCTCGGCATTTGTCCATTTTTCTGTTGAAGGTGGAGATTCCTCAGGCCTGGTCTCAGGATCCTGCTGTCAGCTGTGACCCCGAGGATTATTTATTTGTGTTACTTTTGCAGCTCGTTAGGAGAAATGAAGCCAAGGAAAGCACACAGGGATGGAAGGAAAGGAGCCCAGCCCTGGAACCCTGACTGCCAGGTCGGGGTGGAGGTTCTGGTCTTGGAAAGGGCTTAATCTGTGTTTAATTTAATCCCAGGTGTTTGGTTGCAGGAGGGGCCTGGCCTGCAGCCCCTCACCCTGACAGGGACACCAGTGCCTGGGCTTGGTCTGACACTGGGACCAAGGTGACAATTTATTTCCTCCTCTGGTGACTGTCACCCCATAACCGAGACTGGATGGGACCCCAAACCCCCAGCACCCAGAGATTTCCCTACACACTTAATTCCATGCAGCCTGAGCAATCCTGGGATCTCCCAACACCACTGCAGAACAGGGGGTTTCTAAGGAAAAACACCTGGGGGCCCTGGGGGGGCACCAAATGCTCCCAATCCTTGATTTTCTCCTCTTTTTTTAAAGGTTGGCCACTGGGTTTACACTGGTTTTGCAGTGTTTTATAAGAGTTTTGCACTGTTATACGTGGGTTTAGACCAGTTTTGCACTGGTTTACGTGGTCTTACACCAGTTTTGCACCAGTTAAATGTGGGTTTACACCAGTTTTGTACTCTTTACACTGCTTTTGCACTATTTTGCACCAGTTTTACACCACTTTTACACTGTTTTACATGACTTTCCATTGTTTTACACCAGTTTTTCACTGTTTTACATGATTTTACACCTGCTTTGTAGTGGTTTATGCCAGTTTTGCACTGTTTTACATGGTTTTGCACTGTTGTTTTGATGTTTTACACTGGGTTTGCACTCTTACACTGGTTTTGCACAGTTTTACACTGTTTCTGCAGATTTACATGGTTTCACACTGGTTTTGTGCTGTTTTACACCAGTTTTGTGTCATTTTGCACTGTTGCGAACCAGTTTTGCACAGGTTTTACATGGGTTTACACCAGTTTTTTGCAATTTTACACCAATTTTGCACTGTTTTAAGTAATTTTACACCAGGTTTGCGCTGGTTTTGCACTGTTTTACACCAGTTTTTCACTGTTTTATGATTTTACATCAGTTTTATATTAATTTACACCAGTTTTGCACTGTTCAACATGATTTTGCACTATTTTGCAGTATTTAACACTGATTTTGCATGGGTTTACACCAATTTTGCACTGTTTTACATAGATTTTGCACGGGTTTACACCAGTTTTTGCACGAGTTTCTACCAGTTTTGCACTGTTTTACACCAGTTTTACACCAGGTTTGCACTGCTTTATATTGATTTTGCACGGGTTTACACCAGTTTTTGCACGAGTTTCTACCAATTTTGCACTGTTTTCCATTGATTTTACACAGGTTCACACCAGTTTTGCACTGTTTCACACTGGATTTACATAGATTTTGCACGGTTTCACACCAGTTTTTGCAGGGGTTTATACCGATTTTGTAGTTTTTCATTGATTTTACACAGATTTGCACCAGTTTAGCACCGTTTCACACCAGTTTTGCACCGTTTCACACCAGTTTTACATAGATTTTGCACGGTTTTACACCAGTTTTTGCACGAGTTTCTACCAATTTTGCACTGTTTTCCATTGATTTTACACAGGTTTACACCAGTTTTGCACCGTTTCACACCGGGTTTACATAGATTTTGCACGGTTTTACACCAGTTTTTGCAGGGGTTTCACACCAGTTTTTGCAGGGGTTTATACCAATTTCGCGCTGTTTCACATTAATTTTGCGCTGTTTCACATTGCTTTTGCACTGTTCGCATTGATTTTGCACTGTTTCACATTGCTTTTGCGCTGTTTCACATTGCTTTTGCGCTGTTTCACATTGCTTTTGCGCTGTTCGCATTGATTTTGCACGGGTTTACACCGATTTTACGCCAGACCCCTCCATTTCCACGGCCCGCCCGCGGCCGGGGCGTCCCCTCCGGGTGCCCCCCGGGCCGTGTCCCCGCTCCTCGTGACCCCCCCGGCCTGGAAGCATCCCCGGCCCCCAGTGCCACCCGCGGCCGAGGGACATTCCCGGCGGCTCTCGGGTGTTTTCGGGGCCGGGTTCCCGCCCCTCGCACACGCGGCCCCGGGGGCGGGCGGTGGGTGTTGCGCGCCCAAGGCAGCGCTGCACGAACCTCCGAGCGCATCCACCGGGAGGAGGAGGAGGAGGAGGAGGAGGAGGAGGAGGAAGGGAAGAGGGAAAGGGGGGGGAGGGTGGCGGCGGAGGGAGGGAGCAATTGAATTTCAAACACAAACAACCGCATGGGGCTCGGGCCCTCCGCCGCCGCGCCGCGCCGCCGCTGACCCCGGGGCCGCCGCCGCCCCCCGCCCGGGCTCCGCGCCGGGGGGGGCAGAGCAGCCGCTGCCTCCCCGCCTTCCCCCCCCCCCCCCCAGCCTCCTCCCCCCACACCCCGGTATTAGGAGGTTTTTTTCTTTTTTTTTTTTATTCTTTTTTTATTTTTGTTGGCTAATCCCTGCCCTCGCCGGGTTTTGCCTCCCAAACTTCAACCCCAACCCCCTCCCCCCCCTCCCCCCCCCCCGCCCACCCGCCCCCCCGGTCCCGGGAGGAGCCGCCAGCCAAGATGTCCCGGTCCAACCGGCAGAAGGAATACAAATGCGGGGACCTGGTCTTCGCCAAGATGAAGGGTTACCCGCACTGGCCTGCCAGGGTAAGGAGCCGGGGACGGGGGAGGGGGGGAGATGGGACACACCGGAGCCCCCCCGGTGCTCCCCTCGGTGCTCCCCGTTGCATAACGCGGGCGGCCGCGGTGCCCCGGGGCGGGGGGGGAGCGCACCGGGGTCAGGCTCCCCCCGTGTAACGGCGGGAGAGGGGGGGGCCCCACATTGGGGTCAGGCTTCACCTCCCCAGCCCCCGCTTCCACCGGGGGATCCAACTTTACCGGCACCTTATGTAAGGCCGGGCCCGGCGGGCTCGGGGGTTACTCGGTACAGAGGGTTTGGGGAGGCGCTTTCGGGTCATTTCGTTGGGTTTGGAGGGATTTAATGTGTTGGAAACAATGTCCCGGGCTCCCCCCCGGGCCCCTTTTGTGCTGTTTATTCATTTCCCTCCCGGGGGGGGTCAGGGGTGGGGACCGCGTGGCTTCTGCCACCGCGTGGGAGCGGGGACACCCCCACCCGGGGCCGGTCGGTGACCGGGACCGCATCGTGCACCGGGACACGACGCTGGGCCAGCCCGGGGCGACCCCCCCGGGGTGACCCCCTGGTACCGGGAGGTCTCTTTTCCACGTGGGGGCCGCACCACGACCCCCTTCCCGCTCCATTGCGAGACCCCGGGGAGGGGACGGGTCGCTCCCGTTCTGCTTCGCCGCTGATTTGGGGCAGACCGGGATTGGGGACGGGGGGGACGGGGCTCA